ATGAAGTGAAATCCGACGAAATGAAATTCATTGATTAGAATGTAATCACTACTGTAGGAGAATAATCCTGAGAGTTCTCTATCAGTGTAATTATGAAAGTCAAGACCGATATAATAAGTAAGGTTAATGCGTGTTGGAGAGGTACAAAATGATCGATGAGATTACTATAAAATTCGTGTCAGATCTAGTTCGATCAGTGTTCAGTATTAAAATTCATTTTATCGATTTATGACTGCGCAACGACCAACCACCGCCAAAGTAATCGCTTTGAAAAGAATAACACAGATTGAAATTTAGTTAGCTGCATTAGTTAGTATTAAATATCTATACTTCAACACTGTACTTCTTTCTTCCTTTGACACACGCGGAGTCCAAATATCGTTTAGTTTTTAGCGAAGAAGAAGACTCGGACGGACGCTATTATCACACTGTCGAGGCGAGGCTAATTAAAGAACCTTTGTGGTAGAACTCCATTAAGATAACTGTACGGTGTAATAAAGAATCGTTTATACAAGTCAAAGATTGATCGACAATTGCGCCAACGGCTGCTGTTTATTGATACTATTTTCAATTGTTTGCACGTGTTCGGATTGTTTTATCAAGTTATCATTGTTTGCCAGACTCCCTGAGAGCTTTCAGCACTAAGTGGGGAGGAAACATGGTAAAACTCGACAATCGTATATGATACTGTTTGATCATTTGATACTGCGAACGTACAGATTTCAATATACCTATTCATGCATATGTATAATTTCAATCAGGTAATAGCGCATTATCAATATCTTCGCATTATTATGAAATCCTGACTTGTACTATTATATAATATCTATATTATTATTTACATCTCTTATGTTTCTAATTAGTGAGGTAATGGTACATACCAGTTAATAAATTAAAAGTTTAATTTACAGTTAAGCAACGATGGAATTATACTACTACTTACATAGACATGTAGTTGATTGTATTCGACTATTAGAAGAGAATACCTTTCTAAATTTATTTAGGATTTAGATTTTCATTCAAGAGCATGACATTAATGAGATGCACGAATCGTACATTTTTATGAGGAAAGAGAAATTTTTATTTTATGAAGGAAGAAATCTATTGGAGACTTACGTATTTTTTTAATCCAGGTACGTACCTACCAGGTACACCATTAATATTACAAACAATGGATTTAACACTATCCAGATAGTTGATTGTATTCGAACACGGGAGAAGAATACTTGCTTTTTCTTAGGATTTATATTGTTTAAGATTTATGTTGTTGAAGGTCTACTCGAAGGGATGGACATTAATGATGCATGAATCATAAGTTTTCATCGAAGAAAGACGCCGATTGGAGACCTCTTTGACCCACAAGAGGCTCGTCTTTACCCTACTCCTTCCGTATATCATCGCTTCGTCAGTTCGTACGTGGATCTCGATTTGAAGACTCATCGAGATCACCCGGCAAAGTAGCCTTGCGGTCGTTTGTTAATGCATGCAATCGCATCTATCGATACAAACTCGCTGTTGCCAATTTAATTCGCGATCCAATACAAAATTTCACCGCGTACAGTCCGTGATCTCGCGCGATCAAGATTGTCAAATTTCGACGGAATCGAGAAGTACTCTTGAGTATTCTCACAGTAAGCAAAAAAAAAAAAAAA